TCATGAATGTTTTTTCTGACGCAACGATGGAATTTGACTACAAAAGGAAGGTTCATCTACGAAAAATGGATCAATATCGACGACCAAATGACCAGATATTCTCATACCGCCAATAGTGGAACTTGTTGATGTTGAAGAATTGACGAAAGTATTCAGCAAAAAAGTAATTAAACGGCTTCGGAGTTTGATTTATACGTGGTATTAACACAGGCTTTTCAGTAGTTTTTAAAATATTCAACTTTCCTTATTGAGAATTAAAGGTATGATTTTTATTTGGACGATATTTTTCTTCGGCTTGAATATAATCTCGAAACGGAGAATCACGCTCTTTAACTGCTCGTTTAACACCTGATTTGCCGATGCTGTACAACTAGGTGAGCGATAGCTTCCTCCAGCAAGCAACTCATCTCCTTTTATCTCATGCAATGTGCATTTTCCTTTCGGATGGATTAAGTATCCGAAAGCGTCTACAATCCAGAAATACCAAAATAGATTTCTTGCATTACACTTATTCATTTTCTTATAATTATCCGGTGCAGTTAGGTATGGAACGAATCGAGCGGAAAAAACATGAGCGCGGTCGCGCTCGAGCGTATTTTACACGAGCGGGCTCGTTCACTGCAATATATTTTTTATACAAATATACTTTTTTGTTTACATGATAAGTGAACAGCTGTGTACATAGCAAGTAAACAATTGTTTAAACATTTTTTATGCAAAACTATAGAGAATTTATTCAAATTAGGAATGACATGCGAGCGCTCGGACACCGAGCGCGATTCGTCTGTTTCACTCGAGCAAAGAGTGCTCGAGCGTTCACTCGATTCATCCCATACCTACGTGCAGTACGATGTTAAAAAATCGTGGGATAAACGAATACTGAATTACCTTGATTGCATTTATATGAGTGAATTGCACAGCCCTTTTACCATTTTGAAAAGAAAAAACTGAAAATGGAAAAATCTAAGTAATATGTTCGAGTGTCGAGTATCCATCAGTATAATATTTTCCCACCAATTATGCGGTATCTCGCTACGACAACAGTACGCACATATGCCAGTAGTACCCATTTGACCCACATTGTGCAGCGGACTGTACATCTGTTCATCAAGAAAGACAAGTTTCAGTTTTCGTTCTCCTACGAAAAAACATTATTGCATCATTATCCTTTCTTTAGCTTGAATACGCTGAAATTTTCAATATCTTTGTATGAAACACCCAAAATTAATCTGAAACAGTTCAACGTCCAACACGTAGTAACTTTTTGTTATTTTTCAAATCGATTCGTTTTTTAAACAGTTCAAAACATGTTGAATATCTTGCGCCTTTCTGTAATTCTTCGTATCTTGATTATATAGAGCAAACTGGAATAATTCCAGTCAGTGCTTGCGAATTTCGTAGTATTTTTTCATATCATAAAGCTCTTTTTAAGCTGAAAAACTGCTATTGTAACTTACAAGTAGATGGATGTGAGTCTTAGCTATCCATTCAAGTACAGAATTTCTCAAAACTCAGTGAAGTTAATTAGTTTCATGGTTTTTTTTAGCGCGTGTCAACCGCTCATCAAAATTAACTCCAATGGGTAATTCCGATTGACGCTAACATAACCCTGAGCACGAAGCAAAACAACTTTTGCTCAACCACGAATGTTCACTTTTTTAATTAAATGTTAGCACATCTTGTAGGGAATTTCGAGTACTTCCCGATCACATGTCTGGCAATCTGAAATCACGTTTCCTTAATTAATTGATGAGAGACTACATTAAAAGAAAGAACTTTATCTGGGCTAAATATAGGCACGCTATCAAATCTATTGAGGTAATTTCAATCACTTCAAATTCAACAAGGCTGTGTAAAAAAAAGAAGAAAAAGAACTAGTCAGTTGATGTTTAACTCGATACACCGATCTTAAAATAGGATCTTTTAATCGGCTTTATTATCATCGCAGATTAGAGATTACTTCGATGATCGTTAACTTACATTTATAGTCGATTACTAGTTTTTTCGAGATGAAGCAGCATTTTGCTCATTCCACTTAGCGCTCAAAATTCTATTAGTATTTTCATCGTTCAGTATTGTTTTGAAATAAATCTTAACAATTTTTCCGAATATCTATTAGTTGATTAAAATTTAGAAGAGTTTGGGAAAAATTTCCTGAAACTAATTAGTATTAATCGACAAATAAGTCTGATTGCTAACTGTATTCCTTGTCGTAAAGATGACAATATACATGACGACGCAATCAGAGCTTGACTCTAATATAGTTGCTTGCTCTTCTAAAACTCTCACAAATCGACCTGTTTTTCTCATCCAAGTGATCTTTCTAGGTGAAATATTATTGATTCAGCAATTTGAGATATATTTCTACTGAAAAAATATCTCACAGAATCCTGAACGGAAAGCTTAATAGACAAATAGATTTTTCGGCAGTAAATTTTTTTTGCATAGTTCGGAAAAAAATTTCGCCGTAAATTAATGTTTTCCGCCAAAAAATTGAAATTCTCAACGAAAAAATATTTATTGGCAGGATCTTGAGAATCACACGTTTTTTTTCACTCGGAATCACGACGCGCCATTTTTATATAAAAATGCGTGAAAAAACTCGTACATTGCAAATGTTATAAACAGAATGTGGACTCTATTTGTGGATACGAAATATAGACTAAATTCTCACTCATAAGAGAAAATAATTTCTTTTGCGTTCTTGAAATTCGCGTCGCGACTTTTTAAAACTCCTTTACTTTTAATGATCCTTAGCCATTTTTCGATCTGAGTCGCGTCACAAAATACTGTTGGCGCTGAGGAAAACCGATATTGAATTCTTAAGAATCGATGTGGAATTTAGAGTTCTACAGCTGGATCGCGATTGCCCCTTGACTTCACGATATTATAGCGATCGCGACGCGATTACATATCACTCAGGGACTCTTAAAATAAACTTTTCTTTGAGAATAAGATTGATCAAGATTACGCCGCGAGTTTACGACAGTTCGATACTTTTTACTTGTCAAAAAAGTGAAAAATATCAAACCGCCGTAACTGTATCTCAAAATTGGATCATTGAAGATAAATAAAAGTCATATATGCTTGGGGAACCGGGCGATCTTCTTGATCGTGGATAGAAGTGCGTCTCCGGTTTACTGGGTTGGGTGAATGTAGTCGTTCATTGTTTGTGCTTAGACCTGTTTGCTTTTAGTGAATAGCGTATGTTGCGTTTTGAAAAAAATTTAATTCTAAACTCGATGATAAGGATCGGTTTGCGGTGCCGTCTCTTACGCTCTCTATAACTTGATAACGATGCAGTTTTAAATGACGCTATTTATACCTTTATCTACTATGCATTTCAAAATAGAAGGCGAGTGATTGTGAGCCGAATAACTCGAGAACGACAGGTGATAGCGACCTGCGGTTTTCAGTTTTAGAAACTAGACACCAGGGCACGTGGATATATGGAAAAGTCACGGCTTCCAACAAGGTTTACCATTCGAGACAAAATCCGAAAGCTTACCGTTCCCAAATCACACTATGAAATCCAATGTCTAATAACACCAGTCCATAACCAGAACATCACTCCTCAAGCGCACGCAAGGTCTAGACCTTCGTCTGCTTTGGTTCCGGAGATACAGACGTTTTCCGAGGACACATCTGTCTGGTTCCAGACACGTCTGGAAATCTCAAAAATACCTGGATAGAGTTGTATTCATATTATCGTTACTACAAAACACGTCGGTGATTGTGTTCTCGTATAGAAAAAGAAAAGAAAATATATACAGAACGAAAAAATAGGAACCCTACAAAATCTTACAGTAGGATTTTGTAAGAAATGCATAAGATTCCTATTTATGGGAATCCTATAGGATTTTTGCTGCCGTCCTATGTCAAGAATCCTATGAAATTCCTACCGTAGGATTTCATAGGATGCTACAATAGGAATCCTATGAAATCCTAATACCAGTAGGATCCTATAGGATCTTGTAGGAACCTAGTAGGATTGTTTGACCTGGGTGTTACATCAACAACTACTATCTGAAATTAATTTTTAGCAAGTTGAATTCATTTTTTCATACCCTGCTCTAGTTTTAGCTTTATTTTCAGAAAATTTTTTTTACAATAGTTCACAATATCATCAATGCATGATTAAGACTAATCAAAACATGTACAATAGAATCAATAAACGATTATAAGAATAAGGAAGAAAAGGTTACATAAAAACGCATACCTTTTTTGTAAAATTTAATCCATTGTATTAGTACAAATTTTAGCATCACACATTCTACTGTAACATTGCGCGACCATGTCATGGTTACAGATTTTACAATACAGATTTTAAATACAGATTTTTCCCACGCAAACCAATGCTGCGCAACACTCTGAATTTGTACATGCTACCTGTGCTCCTGAGCAAGCCTGAGTCGTCGAAGTTATCAGGTTTCCTAAAAGAAAAGCTTATCAGCATAGACTTTGGGTCTAAAGTGGAACTCCTCCATTCAAACGTGATGGACTAAGGTGGGGCTGTATGATTACCCCGAGTGAGTACGTTTACGTTAATTTGTTTAATTTTATTAAGATTCTGCGTTAGCTTGTCCGCGTATACAATGTATATTCAGTATTGTCCATGGATTCGCGTACAGAGTACGCGCGCAAGCGTTGTGGGGAGAAGAAGAGAGGGACGTATGAGGTAGGTAAAATTTTCACATTCCCAGCAGTTTCTCCCTTTACAAACTTTCACTCCTTGTCCTTCCTCTTTCAGAGGAATTCAGAGGAGGAATTACACAAAATAATAAACTCAAGTTCATAAAGCTGCGAAATGGTATCGGGTACTATGAAGGGTCGAAACTAGCATCGAAACACGGAAGACCAATGATTGCTAATGTTTTGGCTAAGTTTGTTGAACGCAAATGCCTGCTTTTTGCGTGAATTGCTTTGGTCAATGGTAACATGCCTGAGTGCGCCTTACCGCTACCATTATATCCTGTCTATGCAGGTTTGTCGTGACCAAAAATTGCGATAAATATACGATTATCCTGCCATCGTCCTCTTTTTGATACAAAAAATATCAACATTTATCGCAGTTTATGATAAAACAACTTTATTTTTGGTGTATTATCGTGATAACGGGCTATTCCTTGAGATACGTTCTTTATCGCTGAAACTTTCGATAAAACTTTACCATTCATCATTCATTTTACCTCGATTAACTCGACTGGTTCGATGAAATGAGCAATAGCCCATAATACGCCAAAAAAGAACTTCCTATCCAGAACATCGCGACAAAACAATCAAAAAAAGCTATATGGTTGCTACTTTAGTATATTAAATTACGAGAATGCTGAAAGAGCTCAAAACTATATCTTGTTGAGGCCTATGGTAGATTATGGCTTTGTTTTGTTCCCCTCTCACTTACCTTGAGTGCTTGAAATTTCAGCTGTGCTACCCTGTGTTTGAGGCCTTACTGTTGAACCGGTGGAAGCTGTTAACATTGGGCTTGAACCTATAGGACTAGAACTTGCTAAACTTGAACTTATAGAGCTGGACACTACTGAACTTGAACCTGTTGAGCCAGAACTTGTTAAGCTTGAACCTATGGAGCTGGAAACTATCGGACTGGAGCCTATAGAGCTTGAACTTGTTAAGCTTGAATTTATTGGGCTTGAACCTGTTGGGCTTGAACCTGTTGAGCCAGAACTTCTTAAGCTTGAACCTATGGAGCTGGAAACTATCGGACTGGAGCCTATAGAGCTTGAACTTGTTAAGCTTGAATTTATTGGGCTTGAACCTGTTGGGCTTGAACCTGTTGAGCTAGAACTTGTTAAGCTTGAACTTATGGAACTGGAAACTATCGGACTGGAGCCTATAGAGCTTGAACTTGTTAAGCTTGAATTTATTGGGCTTGAACCTGTTGGGCTTGAACCTGTTGAGCTAGAACTTGTAAAGCTTGAACTTATGGAACTGGAAACTATCGGACTGGAGCCTATAGAGCTTGAACTTGCTGGGCTTGTTTCACGAGTTGCTGTAACTCCGGATACATTTTGTGATGATGTCATTACGGAACTTGTGTTGTTGATTGGGATCTTTGATATTAAGCCAAGCGTTGGTATTAACAGACTAGAGTTAGTTTGCGATGGAGTTATCGTATGTGTGGTTGTTATTAACGATGGAACTAAGTTAGATGTCGTAGGCTGTGCGATTTCT